ATTAATATCGAAAAGTGTGCGAAATTTGGAAAAATGTTCAATCGAAGATTTACATGCCATCAATCGAGAAATTTTATTCAAAAAGAAATTGAAATATCAAATGCAACGCAGCAAAGAATTGGAAAAATTGGGCTTGAAAAATGTTAATCCCGATAAGATACCCTCAACGGATTTGTGAGCAGTTATACAGATGTTAACTTGGATTCATTAAGTAAATTTTTTTGGCAAAAGAAACACTAATGACATTTAAATCTATGAAATTTATGTAGATTGATATTGTTGGAAAATGCAGCTAAATAGATAATCCCGAAACGATTCAAAATAACAAGTGTGAGTTATTCGTGAGTTAAGCATGATTGTTAACATGTTCGTGGAATCTGAGGCATCCTCATTAATGAGGTTATGTTCTTAATTAATGTAAATGATATTATTTCAATACATATTTATAATAAAAACAAAATATTTGAAAAGAAATTAAAAATTGTGTTTTTTATTTATTTTCTTAATGAGATTCTTTTATTTCAATAATATTTTTTTGAACTGCATCATATTTAATTTATCCTTCAACTACGGGCGTTGGTGTTGACTTTATTTTTTAATTTTTTTATTTATTAAAAAACGTTTTTTGACATTTTATGAGCTCAAAGTTGAATTTATTTTTAAAAAAGTCAAATAATTATAAACAACACCACCTCCCTAGTTAAAGGTTAAATCATTTCATTACACCCTATAAGAATGGCAAAAAAAACTTTTTTGTAGGATGTGTCCCGTACCGAAAGTGGGTCTACATATTGACATATGTATGTAGGTCTTTGTGAAACCAATTCTTTCGCTACTTATTACCACTTTTAATGATTTATGCCTCATTGTATTATGAAATATTGATATTAATGGGGCCTATGATTAACTATGGTCCGATCTTTACAAAATCTGGAAGAGTGATTCATTTCTTAGAACAAATAATTCCAGCTGTTGTTTTTTTCTTAATAATTAATTATTTTATTCTTAATAATAATTAATTTTCAATTCAACCAAACATTAATGAGTATTTGTAATCGATAGGTTGTATGGAATCAACAAGGTCAACTGAAATGAACCTTGTTTGGGTGGTCGGGTCAATTTTGGGTGGTCGGGTCAATTTTGGGTGGTCGGGTCAAATTTGGTAGTGAGACTTTTATTCCTACAAAACTTGTTTATGTTGAATTTCTTAGCTATAGGTATTATAAAGATAGTTATGAGCGTTAAAGTACTTTTCTGAAGGAGCTCTTTATGGGAATAGGGTCAATTATGGACCAATCCTCAAATATATGGATTCCTATAAAACTTGTTTTCGTCTAATTTCATAACTATATAAGGATATTTTTGAGTCAGTTATAAGCGTTAAACATTATTTAGAGAGGCTAATTGTATGGGGGCTAAGAGCGAAATCATTGACCGATATTGATCATTTTCAATACCAAATAAATCTAATAAATATATTCAACTGTCTAGCTACTCCTGTGGGCATGGTTAGATCGTATTAACTAGAATTCTATAAGGACCCAGAATATATATGTATACTTTAATGCAACGGTTCCCAAATGGGGGTCCGCGGACCCCTAGTGGTCCGTAGTAAAATCCTAGGGGGTCCGCGAAGACGAACGAAAAAAACCATGAATAAACAATATTCTGCTTTTATATGTATGTACAAATATCTCCAACTTTTGTGCAATAATCCCAAATTTTTTGGTGACTTTTTGAATTTTATTTTTTCGGTTGTTTATCAGGAAGAAGCTAGGCCCTACAAATTTATTGTATAACTTTTATAAAGTAAAGTACTGCGTGATTTGTAATTTTTATTTCCTGTATATGTACTGAAATAATGGTTTTTATTTCAGACAAATAATACTCTGCCTTACAATTAAATTAGGGATACAGGTATTCCGGAGTATGAAGTTCAATTCAAAGACAGGCTTATTACAGATTTAAGTTTATCAAATTGTAAGCAAAATTATATATTTCCAAAACAGAGGTGACTCTTTATGCATCTCTTTATAAATATTCCAATCCGATATGATACACAGATTTTAACTTGATTTTGTCGACCAATACATATTATTAAATTAACATCAGAAAATCCATAGCGTTTCGCGTAAATATGTAGCCAAAAACCATGAAGTAAAATAATTCGTTGGTATTTTAAAATTCAAATTTGAGTTCCAAATTCACAGTACTTTAACAAAGAGTTCAAATCATATATTATGCGGATAACGCATTCCGCAACAACATAGAAGAAGTCCAACTTTCTTATATTATTTTCCCGAAAACTTAGCTCACTTACTCAGTTCACCCTTTGCAATCGCAACAAATTTTTGAAACGTGACTCCTTAAGCACATGTGACAATATTTGATAAAGAAACCTTTTCGCTACCTTGAAGAAAAATGAACATGAAAGATCTCACGATCATAAAATTAAACATCATGTTAACATATCAACAAAGAAGTCATTCTATCTTCAAAACATGCAATTGAAAACCTATCTGAAATATTATATATTCTCAATGTACGGGAATATTTTATAGATATGACATCTCTACATTTATTAGACCTAGGGATTAATGAACTAGGTCAATTTTCGGATGGACAATTATTTAGAACAATAAGATATCAAAATATGTATGGGGGTCCGCGAAATTAAATAAGTTCTTCAAGGGGTCCGCGAAGTAAAAATCTGTGGGAACCGCTGCTTTAATGGGTATACGACCAATATTTCTATTTACTACAAAGGGAGGGACAAAATTAATATACTCGCCATCAATTTTGATAGTGGGTATAAAAATAATGACATACATTGATGAAAAGTCACAATTTTTAATGTAGACTTTTTACCATCGAATATATGATACATATACCCACATAGGTATATGTATATACATATATAATGGGTCCTTATTAGATTCTAAAATGATCCAGCCATGTCCGTCCATCCATCTGCTTGAAAACATGATAATGCATAAACGGGTAAAGCAAGAGAACTGAAATTTTCCGAAAATATTTTCTATTGATGTAGGTCTATCAGACCCCAACTCTTATAATATCTGACTTAAAACAAAGTCCCTGAATCTAGTTTTTATGAACCGAAATCCAAATTTTCTTAAAGATCGGCAAAAATTATTTGTTGTTAGATTATATATTAGTCATACTTTTGAATTTTGAAGAATTGGGTTCTTAATAGATCTAAGTACACATAAAATGCCCTCTTCCGAAAGTCACACTGATGTTCATATTAATATCGATATATCAATGATTAGAAGCTAAAACATTCTAAGTCGAAAACGTAAGTTGCATCTCAATCAAATTTTATGTTAGAGGTTTTATTGATTAGTAAATAGGATTCGGCATAGTCTAATACATATGTATATGTAATACTCTTACTTGTTCTGGGCATAACTCAAAAGTCTGTAAGTTTCTGATATTGATCGGTCAGATGCTGATGTAAAAAAATCATGGATTTTGTCGCATTTTAGTTCGTAGTACAAATGTTCGATCTTTTACGTTCCTGATAATTTTCATTGACATTTCGTACCAAATCGATACATACCTGAAAGAAAAAGAATAATTGAGATTATTAATTTGGTATTGAAATTGAAAAAATTAAATTTTGGAAAGAAATTTGAGAGATAAACATTTTTAATGAAATATTTTCTTGACTGAATAAAATTTCGTATGGAAATGGAATCCCCTCAAAAACCTGGGGGACTGCAATAGAATTCCATCCCGATCTGTAATGGAATTATTTTCTAATTGTGATTTTTCAAAAAAATTTAAACATTTTTGGAATGAATGAAACCATATTCAGAATTAAAATTTTGTAATTATTGTTACCCTAGCGGAAGGACACATTTCAAATCGTATTCCCTATATGTAGTAACCAAAATGCTAAAAAGTAGAATAATTTTTTACCCTACACCACTATAGTGGTGTAGGGTATACACCCACCTTTAAGTATACCGATCGACTCAGAATCACATTTTGAGTCGATTAAGACATGTCCGTCCGTCCGTCTGTCCGGCTGGCTGTCCATGTAAACCTTGTGCGCAAGGTACAGGCCGCAATTTTCAAGATAATTTGATGAAATTTGGACCAAGCATGTTTTTTGGCACAAGGACGAAGCCTATTGAAAATGGTTGAAATCGGTCCATTATTTCACATAGCCCCCATACAACCGTACCTCCCGATTTGGGCTTTTTATGCCCTAATTACGTCAAATATGCTATTATCTCTCTAAAAATTGGCACGAATAAGTTTTATATAAGTATAAATGACACTGCAGATTTTCGTAATGATCGGCCCTTATTTGACCCTAGCCCCCATACAAACCCCCCTTCAAAAAATGTCTTAAACGTCTAAAATTGACTTGTAACCATTTGTATCGCAATGAAACTCAACATAATTAACTATTATTTAAAAATACATCCTGTTCCCAAATTTAATGAGGATCGGCCCATGTTTTACCTATACTCCTATATAAAGCCTCATTTAGAAAATTTGTTTTTTATCAATAAATTGCTTAAATACTTTGGAATTAAGGTAAAATTCAACATAAAAGTTTCTTGTGAAAAATAAAAATTTTTAAAATATACTCATGGTGTAGGGTATTATATGGTCGGCCATGCCCGACTATACTTTCCTACTTGTTTTATTTTAGCTCAAGGAATTAACTTATTATACTCAATATTAATTACAATGAAATTCATTCTAATTGTTTAACATTTAGTTTATTTCTTTAATATCTTTTCAAAACATTATTTATACATAAAACTATTGTATTGAGCGCACATTTCTTCAATTTTATCAAATTGTCTCCATTTTTACTCCAGTTCCCTTAGATTTCTTTCATCTTTTCCAGATAAATCCCTTAAGGTCGATGATGGATCCGCCATAGTACACAAGATTGCTGAACCCATGATATCATTTGTAATTCCACTGCCTTAGTTTTTCACAACTCCGTTGATGGGAATTTATTTAATTGGATTAACATTTTTCATGCCCATCTTTTCCAGTTGTCTAATACGTTTCAATTGTTGTTTCAATTTATTTTTGAATACCAGTTCCCGATTGATGACTTGCAAATCTGACATTGAACATTTCTTTAAATTGCGTACACTTTTCGTAATTAATTTATCGGTGAGAGAAAGTTTTGTACGATTCAATGTCTTATAACGGCATTGAGAGCGTCGCAATTCTTCACGATAGAGGAATAAAGTGTAACTAACGGTAGTCTTCGATTCCATTATTAAGGTTTTAGATGTCTTTAAGATTCTTTGTTGGGGTGTTTTTTAGTTGAGATCTCTAAAGAGAATAATGTTGCAATGAGAGGATTCTAGAGATTATATAGAAACATATTACACAATAAGTTACCTACATACAGTTTCTGGTAGGAACAGGTATATTATTTGACCTTCTCTGTTCCTTTTTGCAGTCATATAACTTCATTCTTAATCCTTTCTTTTTTAAATGTTAAATTTTGCGTTTAGTTAATCGGGGTTGCAAACCACGTGTGTTATTAGTTAAAGAGTTTAAAGGTTGAAGTTTAGTGCAACATGTTGAAACATGTTTTAATAGTTGTGCTCTAAAAACGGTTCTGTGTATAACAATATTTTCTATGAATTCTATATAACAATATTTTCTTTTATTAATTAAAATTATTTTTAACCACATTTTTGCAAACATTATTTTCAGAAAATTTCTCTAGAACATTCCTAATATGTATATATAAATGTTGAAAGTTGTTAATACAAGCCTTTTATTAAAAATAGTCTCAGTACACATGTGCTTAAACCACAGTTTAACTAACTAAGGGTTTAAGTAATAATAAAACAGAGGATTAAATATTAACCCTTTTTAAGCACACATTTAAAGTTAGATAATGTTGATCTCTGAATCATAAACAGCACTACCTAGTTAGTAACACCAACTAAGAACCTAAATTACAGGTACTAATTAAATTTTTGCATAAATACTCCAGTTATTGAGTTCATCAGCATCATTATTTCTTAAGCTAAACAAGTGTTAACATCAACTCGTTAGTTTTAAACTCGATCCACTCTCGTAAAATGGATTCAGGCAGTGTCAGCTATACCTTATTCCTATATCGTGAAGAATTACAACGCTCTCAGTGCCGTTACAAAACATTGAATCGTACAAAACTTTCACTCACTGATAAATTGATAACGATAAGTGTTCGCAATTTAAAACAATGCTCAATGGATGATTTGAGGGCCATCAACCGGGAGCTGGTGTTCAAGAAGAAATTACAAAATCAAATGAAACGTATCAAGAAGTTGGAAAAGTTGGGTATGAAAAATCCAAACCCAAATAAAGCATCAAAATCTAGCAAGGAATAAGTTATATACAGGAATATGGAGTTTAAAAGTCTAATGTGAAAACTCAAGGATCTTTGAAAATAAGCTATGAATACTTATTTGGACTCATCATCTGGAGAAGATGAAGCATTTATGGAAGGCCAACTTTTAAATTAAATTGTCAATGAACAATCTGCATATTGTTTGCTTGATGAAATGCAAAAATAAAATGATTAAAATTTGAAATACATACTTATGTGTTTAGTTATTCAGTTATAAATATTTAAGGAATACTGTATAAACTTGACTATAGTTTATAGGCGTGGTCTAGTCCATACAGTTAAGACTTTAGTTTATTCTATAAATTAATCTACAGTCTATTCTATATAGTATAATCTATAGTCCAGTACGGTATTTAGTATAGAGCAATTAGTCTAGGCTATAATTTAGTATATAGCTTTATTTGTAGTCTGCCTATATGTCTATAGTCTATTTAATAGTCAAGTATAAAACTTAGTCTCTAGTGCAGCATATAGACTATAGTCTAAGGTTTAATCTACAGTATAGTTAATAGCCTGGTCTATAATCTAGTCTTAAGTCTGTAGTCTAGTCTAGTCTATAGTCTAGTCTTTAGTCTAGTATATAGTCTAGTATATAGTCTAGTCTATAGTGTAGTCAATAGTCTAGTCTATAGTATAGTCTATAGTATAGTCTAGTAGTCTATAGTCTAGTCTATAGTCTAGTCTATAGTCTAGTCTATAGTCTAGTCTATAGTCTAGTCTATAGTATAGTCTATAGTCTAGTCTATAGTCTAGTCTATAGTATAGTCTATAGTCTAGTCTATAGTCTAGTCTATAGACTAGACTATAGACTAGACTATAGACTAGACTATAGACTAGACTATAGACTAGACTATAGACTAGACTATAGACTAGACTATAGACTAGACTATAGACTAGACTATAGACTAGACTATAGACTAGACTACAGACTAGACTATAGACTAGACTATAGACTAGACTATAGACTAGACTATAGACTAGACTATAGACTAGACTATAGACTAGACTATAGACTAGACTATAGACTAGACTATAGACTAGACTATAGACTAGACTATAGACTAGACTATAGACTAGACTATAGACTAGACTATAGACTAGACTATAGACTAGACTATAGACTAGACTATAGACTAGACTATAGACTAGACTATAGACTAGACTATAGACTAGACTATAGTCTAGTCTATAGTCTAGTCTATAGTCTAGTCTATAGTCTAGTCTATAGTCTAGTCTATAGTCTAGTCTATAGTCTAGTCTATAGTCTCTCTATAGTCTAGTCTATAGTCTAGTCTATAGTCTAGTCTATAGTCTAGTCTATGGTCTAGTCTATAGTCTAGTCTATAGTCTAGTCTATAGTCTAGTCTATAGTCTAGTCTATAGTCTATCATAGTCTAGTCTATAGTCTAGTCTATAGTCTAGTCTATAGTCTAGTCTATAGTCTAGTCTATAGTCTAGTCTATAGTCTAGTCTATAGTCTAGTCTATAGTCTAGTCTATAGTCTAGTCTATAGTCTAGTCTATAGTCTAGTCTATAGTCTAGTCTATAGTCTAGTCTATAGTCTAGTCTATAGTCTAGTCTATAGTCTAGTCTATAGTCTATCTAGTCTAGTCTATAGTCTAGTCTTAGTCTAGTCTATAGTCTAGTCTATAGTCTAGTCTATAGTCTAGTCTATAGTCTAGTCTATAGTCTAGTCTATAGTCTAGTCTATAGTCTAGTCTATAGTCTAGTCTATAGTCTAGTCTATAGTCTAGTCTATAGTCTAGTCTATAGTCTAGTCTATAGTCTAGTCTATAGTCTAGTCTATAGTCTAGTCTATAGTCTAGTCTATAGTCTAGTCTATAGTCTAGTCTATAGTCTAGTCTATAGTCTAGTCTATAGTCTAGTCTATAGTCTAGTCTATAGTCTAGTCTATAGTCTAGTCTATAGTCTAGTCTATAGTCTAGTCTATAGTCTAGTCTATAGTCTAGTCTATAGTCTAGTCTATAGTCTAGTCTATAGTCTAGTCTATAGTCTAGTCTATAGTCTAGTCTATAGTCTAGTCTATAGTCTAGTCTATAGTCTAGTCTATAGTCTAGTCTATAGTCTAGTCTATAGTCTAGTCTATAGTCTAGTCTATAGTCTAGTCTATAGTCTAGTCTATAGTCTAGTCTATAGTCTAGTCTATAGTCTAGTCTATAGTCTAGTCTATAGTCTAGTCTATAGTCTAGTCTATAGTCTAGTCTATAGTCTAGTCTATAGTCTAGTCTATAGTCTAGTTCTATAGTCTAGTCTATAGTCTAGTCTATAGTCTAGTCTATAGTCTAGTCTATAGTCTAGTCTATAGTCTAGTCTATAGTCTAGTCTATAGTCTAGTCTATAGTCTAGTCTATAGTCTAGTCTATAGTCTAGTCTATAGTCTAGTCTATAGTCTAGTCTATAGTCTAGTCTATAGTCTAGTCTATAGTCTAGTCTATAGTCTAGTCTAGTCTATAGTCTAGTCTATAGTCTAGTCTATAGTCTAGTCTATAGTCTAGTCTATAGTCTAGTCTATAGTCTAGTCTATAGTCTAGTCTATAGTCTAGTCTATAGTCTAGTCTATAGTTTGGTCTATAGTCTATCTATAGTCTAGTCTATAGTCTAGTCTATAGTCTAGTCTATAGTCTAGTCTATAGTCTAGTCTATAGTCTAGTCTATAGTCTAGTCTAAAGTCGGAAAAAATGTTATTAATTAAATTGAAAACACAAATTTTATATATTGAAGAATATCTTTATTTAAATTTTATTCATTGAAGATCTTTCGCTGATTTTTCTTCAAACTTTCTTTAGATAAGTTCCATAACGTATACCTTTCTTCATTGGTGTTTGCACATTTATATAAGATTCTCATGAGTTTGAATGCTGCGCGTTTTCCTTGAGCTCCATGGTAGTAGTTCCTGACAAACATTTAATAAGTTCCTTTCAGTTCTATTGATTTCAATTAAACGTTAAAAATTTTCACAATTCCGTTAATGGTATTTTACTTGGATTAACATCTTTCAAGCGCAATTTCTGCAATTGTTTACTGCGTTGTATTTGATACTTCAATTTCTTTTTGAATAAAATTTCTCGATTGATGGCATGTAAATCTTCTATGTAACATTTTTCCAAATTGCGAACACTTTTCGCGATCAATTTGTCGGTAAGAGAAATTTTCGTACGATTTAATTGTGTAAAACGTGATTGAGAGCGACGCAATTCCTCACGGTACAAGAATAAAGTGTAGCTGACAGTAGTTTTAGATTTGTATTCCATTTTTTAGTTTAGTTGCTATTAATAGGTGTTATTGCTTGTTTATCTCAAGAGAGAATGTAGCTTTAGAACTTCTTATCATGAGTTTATATAAGAAAATCAATTACCTGTATTATAATGATTTAGTTTCTAACAGGTAGTCGTAGTTTTTTTTCTGTGTTGCAAGGGTTTAAATTCCTTTGTGTGTGTTAAAAATTTTTCATTCTTAATCCACTTTTTTTATTGGATTTAATCCGTTTGTTTAACTAATATGTTAAATAAAATTAGTTTATATCACTTTAGCAGTAAGGTATGTATAAGTCAACAATTTTAGTTTATTAAGGGTTTTTCAAAAATATCAAGCAGTTGCACCAACATTTGTTCATACGTGAGTGCTGAGTTTTAAAAAATGTAAATATCTTTTCAGCTTAAGGTTAAGTTGCACAACTGAAGGATTACCTTAAGACTAAATGCTGCTTGTCTAAACATGATCAACATATTAACTAATAGTTGACTTACATATATATCAGTATTTTCTTCTAAGAATAAAGTCTTCTTGGAGGAGTTAAGTTTCTTCTTAAAAGATTATTTTTCTATAGAGAAAATGTGTCTTCTTAGATGAGACGTATTCTATATCGAAATAGTTTCTTCTTGGAAGAGACTTTTCCTATGTAGAAATAGTGTCTTTTAAAAGAGACATTTTTTAATAGAAAAGGTGTCTCCTTAGAAGAAACTTATTCTAAGGAGACATTTTTCTCAGAGGAGACTTTTTCTACATAGAAAACTTCTTAGAGAAAACTTTTTTAAATAGAAAAGGTTAAAAGAGACATTTTTTTAACATATCTTTAGAAGAAACTTATTCTATATAGAAGAGGTGTCTTCTTAGAGTAGACTTTTTCTACATAGAAAACTTCTTAGAGAAAACTTTTTTAAATGGAAAAGGTTTCTTCTTAGAAGAGGAGAATGTGTCTTCTTAGAAGAGACTTTTTCTAATATGACATCTTAGAAGAGACTTTTTCTAATGGAAAAAGTGTCTCTCTAGAAGAGACTTTTTCTATATAGAAGAGGTGCCTTCTTAGAGTGGATTTTTCTATACAGAAAACGTGGCTTCTTAGAAGAGACTTTTTCTATATGGAAAATTTTTCTTCTTAGAAGAGACTTTTCCTATGTAGAAGAAACTTTTTCTAATGGAAAAGGTGACTTGTTAGAAGAGACTTTTTCTATTGGAAAAAGTGTCTCCTTAGAACATACTTTTTCTAATGGAATAAGTGTCTCCCTAGAAGAGACATTTTCTATATAGAAGAGGTGTCTTCTTTGAGTAGATTTTTCTATACAGAGAACGTGGCTTCTTAGAAGCGACTTCTTTAAAGAAAACATGTCTTCGTAGAAGAGACAATTTATTTTATTGAACAAAGTTTTGCAAAATTTTTTCTATATAGATTATTTCTATATCTATATAGAAAAAATTTTAGAAGGGACCTTTCCTATACAGAATAAACAGTAGAAAAACTGTCTTCATAGAAGAGAACACAATTGTCATTTGGCTGCGAACACAGTGATTGCTTTTCAGCATATTAACCCTTTAAAAATCATAAATGTTTTATGCAAACATGTTCGAACATGTCGCAATTTTTCTTTAAACATTTGTTTTAACTAATAACGCACAATCAGTTTATAACCCCGATTAACTAAATGTAGCGTTTAAGATTTAAACCAAGGGATTAAGAATGAACTTTTATGACCTCTCAAAGAGGTTAGCAATGAAATGATTTTTTAAAGGTCACAAAAAACTTCAAACTAAAATTTACCTGACCCTAGACGAACAGCAAACACTAGGTAGTTCTTGAATGGTATATAAACTCCTTAAACGTAACATTGCCATATCATTCTCTCAAGAGAACTCAACTAAGCAACATAACCACAAATCTAAAATCTTAAAATGGATTCTAAATCGAAAACAACCATTAGCTATACTTTATTCTTGTACCGTGAAGAATTACGTCGAACTCAATCACGTTTTACACGCTTGAATCGTACGAAAATTTCACTCACCGATAAATTAATATCGAAAAGTGTACGAAATTTGGAAAAATGTTCTATAGAAGATTTACACGCCATCAATCGGGAACTTTTATTCAAAAAGAAATTGAAATATCAAATACAACGCAGCAAACAATTGGAGAAATTAGGTGTGAAAAATGCTAATCCCAATGAAATACCTTCTACGGATCTGTAAGCAGTTATATATAAAGCGGTGACAGCTTGCTTGGATTTGGCTTAACTATTCGAATTTGCTTTGAATGGGATTTAAAGAAGATATGACATTCTTTTTTTTACAGAGGAGCTGAAATAATTTTTGTTATTTAGAGAAACTTAAAGAATTGATTTTTCTTTAAAAAAAAAATTGAACTCATCAAATCTAATTCAAAATTAGATTGGAAATTTTGTATTTATTAAAAATAATAAAAAATTAAAAAAAATATTTGTTTGTGTATTATGAATTTAATAATTTTTAAAAACGATTTTTCAAGTTTTAATAACAATTTTATACTAGGAGAAAATTTGTTCATTTAGCTAATGAAACATTAATATAATGATATAGAGGTTCTAGGGGCTAGTAACGGGACTAGTCAGAAGACTAAAACCCAATAGCCAATCTTCTCCAAAGTTCGTTTGACTTGTTTCGTAATAAAAAACATCACTTTCATAAATACTAATTAAACATTTAAAAAGAAATTGGATCAAAATTTGTTTACATAACCAAACTAGAAAGAAAATTTAAATCCTTTTTTATTTTTTTTTTAATTTAAATTAGTATTTTTACTATTAATTGATTGTATAAAAGAGAAATTTTTTCCACAAACTTTAATCGTTACAATTTGCTTCTTTTTAAAATTAATTAAAACGCCATATTAACACTTTGTATTTATATAATTATAAATTCATTAATTTATATATACGAAAAATTAAAACAAAAAACAATAAACGATTAATAGAAATTCATAGACAATTGTCTATAAACGATTTTAATGAATTGACCATAATTATTAGTTTCATGTACATATGACGAGAAACTGTTTAAATGAAAATTCAAACTTACATGCAAACAAATGCAAAAAGATGAAGAGACTGACAGACAGATTTACAGACAATATTACAGTGATGACAAAGTTGACTGCGAAACAGGGAGGAGATGAACGATTGTCAATGATAAAGCTGTTATTAACTGATATTTAACAATTTGAGTTTATTGCAAATGGAGACAAGTTTAAGCTTAAGGCGAAATCTTAAATACCCTTCTTCAGAGTGAAGAGTGTTTTCATGGAAGAGACTAGTATAGAAATGTGTCTCTATTTAAGAGACTTTTTCTATAGAAAATGTGTCTCTATTTAAGAGACGTTTTTATAGAAAAAGTGTCTCCACTACAGAGGCTTTCTTTATAGAAAAAGTGTCTCCACTACAGAGGACTTTTTTTGTTGAAAAAGTGTCTTCATTAAAGAGACTTTTTCTATAGAAAAAGTGTTGTCATTAAAGAGACTTTTCTATAGAAAAAGCGTCTTCATTAAAAAGACTTTTCTATAGAAAAATTTTCTTCAAAAAAAAGATACTTTTTCTATACAAAAAGTGTTTTCTTTAAAGAGACTTTTTCTACAGAAAAAATGTCTTCATTAAAGATACTTTTTCTATAGAAAAAGTGTCTTCATTAAAGAGACTTTTTCTATAAAAAATTTCTTCATTAAAGAGACTTTTTCTATAAAAAAAATTTCTTCATTAAAGAGACTTTTTCTATAGAAAAAGTGTCTTCATTAAACAGACTTTTTCTATAGAAAAAATGTCTTCATTAAAGAGACTCTTTCTATAGAGACAGTGTCCTCATTAAAGAGACTTGTTCTATAGAAAAAGTGTCTGCATTAAAGGTACTTTTTTTTTATAGAAAAAGTGTTTTCATTAAAGAGACTTTTTCTATAGAAAAAGCGTTTTCATTAAAGAGACTTTTTCTATAGAAAAAGTGCCTTCATTAAAGAGACTTTTTCTATAGAAAAAGTGTCTTCATTAAAGAGACTTTTTCTATAGAAAAAGTGTCTTCATTAAAGAGACTTTTTCTATAGAAAAAGTGTCTTCATTAAAGAGACTTTTTCTATAGAAAAAGTGTCTTCATTAAAGAGACTTTTTCTATAGAAAAAGTGTCTTCATTAAAGAGACTTTTTCTATAGAAAAAGTGTCTTCATTAAAGAGACTTTTTCTATAGAAAAAGTGTCTTCATTAAAGAGACTTTTTCTATAGAAAAAGTGTCTTCATTAAAGAGAATTTTTCTATAGAAAAAGTGTCTTCATTAAAGAGACTTTTTCTATAGAAAAAGTGTCTTCATTAAAGAGACTTTTTCTATAGAAAAAGTGTCTTCATTAAAGAGACATTTTCTATAGAAAAAGTGTCTTCATTAAAGAGACTTTTTTTATAGAAAAAGTGTCTTCATTAAAGAGACTTTTTTTTATAGAAAAAGTGTCTTCATTAAAGAGACTATTTCTATATAAAAAGTGTCTTCATTAAAGAGACTTTTTCTATAGAAAAAGTGTCTTCATTAAAGAGACTTTTTCTATAGAAAAAGTGTCTTCATTAAAAAGAATTTTTCTATAGAAAAAGTGTCTTCATTAAAGAGACTTTTTCTATAGAAAAAGTATCTTCATTAAAAAGAATTTTTCTATAGAAAAAATGTCTTGATTAAAGAGACTTTTTTTATAGAAAAGGTGTATCCATTAAAGAGACTATTTCTATATAAAAAGTGTATTCATTAAAAAGACTATTTCTATAGAAAAGTGTCTTCATTAAAGAGAATTTTTCTGTAGAAAAAATGTCTTCATAAAAGATACTTTTTCTATAGAAAAAGTGTATTCATTTAAGAGACTATTTCTATATAAAAAGTGTTTCCATTAAAGAAATTTTTTCTATAGAGAAAGTGTCTTCATTAAAGAGACTATTTCTATATAAAAAGTGAATTCATTAAAGAGACTTTTTCTATAGAAAAAGTGTCTTCATTAAAGAGACTATTTCTATGGAAAAAGTATCTTAATTAAAGAGTCTTTTTCTATAGAAAAAATGTCTTGATTAAAGAGACTCTTTCTATAGAGAAAGTGTCCTCATTAAAGAGACTTGTTCTATAGAAAAAGTGTCTTCATTAAAGAGACTTTTTCTATAGAAAAAGTGTCTTCATTAAAGAGACTTTTTCTATAGAAAACGTATCTCCATGAAAGAGACTTTTTCCACAGAAAAAGTGTCTCCATTAAGGAGACTTTTTCTATAGAAAAAGTGTCTCCATTAAAGATACTTTTTCTATAGAAAAGTGAATCCAATTAAGAAACTTTTTCCATACAAAAAGTGTCTTCATTAAAGAGACTTTTTCTATAGAATCATTTGACATACTTTTTCTATAGAAAAAGTGTCTTTGTTTAAGAGATTTTTTCTATAAAAAAGTGTCTTCATTAAAGAGACTTTTTCTATAGAAAACGTATCTCCATGAAAGAGACTTTTTCCACAGAAAAAGTGTCTCCATTAAGGAGACTTTTTCTATAGAAAAAGTGTCTCCATTAAAGATACTTTTTCTATAGAAAAGTGAATCCAATTAAGAAACTTTTTCCATACAAAAAGTGTCTTCATTAAAGAGACTTTTTCTATAGAATCATTTGAGATACTTTTTCTATAGAAAAAGTGTCTTTGTTTAAGAGATTTTTTCTATAGGAAAGGCGTATCCATTAAAGAGGCTTTTTCTATAGGAAAAGCTTCTCCATTAAAGATACTTTTTCTATAGAAACAGTGTGATCATTCAAAATACTTTTTTATAGAAAAAGTGACGTGTATATAGAATAAAGTCTTATTAGAAGATCATCATGAAAGAGATTTTTTTGTATCGGTGTAGAGTACAAAAAATAAGGTATAAAAATAGCAACATTTAATTTAACAATAAATAAACAAGAAAACAGGTGTTTTAATAGAAAAAAAAATAACAATATTTAACCACCATAAAATCAAAGTAACATTTGTTAAAAAAATAGTTATTTTTTTTTTTTTCAAAACTGTTACTGATGTTTTCTGTAGATGTCTCGTGATGTTGTTGTAACTGTAATCGACCCATAATTAGAGGATGAAATCTATTAATGAAATTATAATCATTGTTGTTGTTATTGTTATAGCTATAGTTGCTGGTGTATGGTGGCTACCAAAAATGGCATTAAGCGAGACACGACAATGATGATAATGATGATGTTGTTAATAATGATGATGCCTTTTGGCATCATGACAGTAAAATATATGTGGTGAAACCCAAAAACCCAATAGCAACAACAACAACAACGTTAGCAGCCACCACCACCAACAATAATAACAAACAGTAGCGATATAAGAGAGGAGCAACAATTGCGTAGTGTCTGCCAGTTTTAGAGTTTTTTGTTGTTGTTGTTCATGTTTTCATTGTGGTGCTACTGACCGATACTCTTTTGTGTGGAAACAAATATATTATAAATTTAATGGCAAAAGTATCGGACCGGCTTCTAAAATGAAAATGTTTGTGTTTTGTTGTTGCTGTTGTTAAATTTGATTTGTTTGTTTTTTTGAATGTTGCCACTTGCAATAACAACAATTTGTTGATGTTGTTATAAATGCTGTGGCTGTTTTATTCATTAAAAATAACATTACTTTCAAATACTATTAGGAGTCTTTAGGTGTTGTTGTTGTTGTTTTTTTTTCTGATTTTCTTAACTAAAGATTTATTTAATTTTGTTTTATTTCTTTTTTTTAACAATTATTTGCGTGACTTTTTTTGTTTTGTTGCTCCAACTGTTTGTATAACTTGTTCTTAACTTGTTATCGGCCTTTTTTTTGGGGTGCAATTGATCACAGAGTCAGAGTGAACAAAAAAAGTTGTTCAGCTTAAATAACTTGTTTTTATTATATCTGTTTTTAGGCCTTGAAATCAATAGTATTTGGAACTTAAATAAAGTTAAATAAGATAAATTAAATGTACAATTGAACAAAACAAAAAAAAAAAAAATGTGAATTACTGAAATACATTTAAAATAAAATTTGCAATGTTTCGGTTTTTTTTTAGGTGAATGTGTTAATTTTAATTGAATTTAAAATTAAATGAATTCAGTTCTATTTTCGATTAGAGTTTAATTAAGATTTAATGAGTTATTGCGGATAAAAAAGAGTTTAAAGAAATCCAGTTTATAGTACTTCATGGAACCGATATTTTCATCTAAAAGCAACGACACAAAAAAACCTGGCCCCGAGGCACGAACATTGACAAATTTCAAACATAACTTTCGAAAAAAACAACGAAAAAGTTTCAGATCAGATCTTCACTATTTTGAATAGATTTGAAAACGTTTTCAAAACAGAATAAGTTCTAAAAATGGCAACAAGGATGTTATTATTAATTATCACAATAGTTTAAAAACATTTTCCATTTCTTATTATTATAACAATTTTATGGTTTCATTTTATTCTTATTCTAGTATCTCTGCAGCAAGTATTGCATTTTATTTTCATTTTTATGCGTTTTTTCCTTCACTTAGTATTTCTGCAGAAAAAGAAACTTGTTTACATTCAGTTGAACAATTATTTTGTTTGACAGTAATCCGGTTGAATGATCTCACTGTGTATTTATACCGGATTTTTTTCCTACTTCTTCATCTCTTCTTTTTACAGAATTTACATTAACGGATTTAACATCATTATCAGAATCATCATCTTGGTTGTGTCGACAAATATACAATATATGCATATCTACACATGACCTTTAAAGAGTCAATAATCTGTTGAGTGCGTAAAAATATAATCAGTGAAATGTTCAACCCAGCATTATTTGCTGGTAAATTAAAACTGTTTAATTTTATTGCTGTAATATATTTGTCATTACCCGAAGATTTTGAACGATTCGATAATGACAAAAGGGTTCATTAGCCTAAGCGAACTATAGTTTTTGAAGACATTTTTTAAAAGTATTTCTAATAGAGACACTTTATCTATAGAAAAAGTATCTTCAAGGGAAACAGTTTTTATATAGAAAAAATATCCTTAATTCAAACACTTTTCATATAGAAAAAGTATCTTTAATGGAGACACTTTTACTATAGAAAAAGTCTCTTTAATGGAGACACTTTTTCTATAGAAAAAGTCTCTTTAATGGAGACACTTTTTCTATAGAAAAAGTCTCTTTAATGGAGACACTTTTTCTATAGAAAAAGTCTCTTTAATGGAGACACTTTTTCTATAGAAAAAGTCTCTTTAATGGAGACACTTTTTCTATATAAAAAGTATCTTTAGCGGAGCCAATTTTTCAATAGAAAAAATCTCTTTAAAGGACACACTTTTTTCTATAGAAAAAGTCTCTTTAATGGAGACACTTTTTCTATAGAAAAAGTCTCTTTAATAGAGATAATTTTTCTATAGAATAGGTCTCTTTAATGGAGACACTTTTTCTATAGAATAGGTCTCTTTAATGGAGACACTTTTTCTAGAGAAAAGTCTCTTTAATGGAGACACTTTTTCTATAGAATAAGTGTCTTTAATGGAGACACTTTTTCTATAGAAAAAGTCTCTTTAATGGAGACACTTTTTCTATAGAAAAAGTCTCTTTAATGGAGACACTTTTTCTATAGAAAAAGTCTCTTTAAAGGAGACAGTTTTCTATACAAAAAGTCTCTTTAATGAAGACACTTTTTCTATAGAAAAAGTCTCTTTAATGGAGACACTTTTTTTATAGAAAAAGTCTCTTTAATGGAGACACTTTTTCTATAGAATAGGTCTCTTAAATGGAGACACTTTTTCTATATAAAAGGTATCTTTAATGGAGACACGTTTTCTATAGAAAAAGTCTCTTTAATGGATACATTTTTTCTATAGAATAAGTCTCTTTAATGGAGACACTTTTTCTATAGAAAAAGTCTCTTTAATAGAGATAATTTTTCTATAGAATAGGTCTCTTTAATGGAGACACTTTTTCTATAGAATAGGTCTCTTTAATGGAGACACTTTTTCTAGAGAAAAGTCTCTTTAATGGAGACACTTTTTCTATAGAAAAAGTGTCTTTAATGGAGACACTTTTTCTATAGAAAAAGTCTCTTTAATGGAGACACTTTTTCTATAGAAAAAGTCTCTTTAATGGAGACACTTTTTCTATAGAAAAAGTCTCTTTAATGGAGATACTTTTTCTATAGAAAAAGTCTCTTAAATGGAGACACTTTCTCTATAGAAAAAGTCTCTTTAATAGAGACACTTTTTCTATATATAAAAGACTCTTTTTTAGAGATACTTTTTCTATAGAAAAATCTCTTTAATAGAGACACTTTTCCTATTCAAAAAGTCCATTTAATAGAGACATTGTTTCTATAGAAAATCGAGACATTTTATCTTTAAAAAATCTCTTGAATGGAGACACTTTTTATGTAAAAATTCTTTAGTTGTGAAGCCCTTTCAATAGACAAAGTGTTTTTAAATAAAAAAAATACGAATGAAATATTTTTATTTGTTTTTAAACCAGAAATTATTATTTCCTTGTGCCCATTATAGTAAGCCATAGTTTAACCTTTTATTCAGAGCTAAATTACTGTTACATTTTGTCACCATTCATTGGCTGACTAAAATCTCCAGGTCCTCCATAACATTGAGATTAGATTTTTTAAATCCTTCAATACAGCTTGGCGGTATCTCTCTTTTATCGAGCTTTAATCCTTTTGTCAATAAAGTCTTCGCTTCACAATTCCGTGGTGGGCAATTGATTTGGATTAACATTTTTCACACCCAGCTTTTCCAAATTCCTGATCCTTTGCACTTGATATTTTAATTTCTTTTTGAATAAAATTTCTCGGTTGATGGCTTGCAAATCTTCCATTGAACATTTTTCCAAATTGCGCACACTTTTCGATATCAATTTATCGGTAAGTGAAATTTTCGTACGATTCAAACGTATATAATGTGTTTGATTACGACGCAATTCTTCGCGGTACAAGAATAAGGTATAACTAACGGTAGATTTTGATTTGGATTCCATGTTAGAATTGATTGATTAGATAACTTGCAATGTTATTAGTTTGTAATCTCGAGTGAGAATGATGGCTAAGTGTTGCAATCTCAGTTTTATATATGTTTAGAAGATAAGTACCTGTTTAGGTTCGATGTTTCTTGGAGTTCATTCAGGTACATGATGGTTTCAGCAATTTGTGTATTCCCTAAAAAACTTTTCATTCTTACCTTTTTTGACGTCATAAACATTCATTCTTAATCCATTTTTTTAAACTTAGTATATGTTTTAACTAAACAAGGTCATAAAATATAATTCAACATATTAGTGGGATTTAGTTGAAAGGTTTTGAAAATGCAGCTGTGGTAAATTTTGTGGGCTGTTAAAGACTCAAAAGTCAAAACATGTTCAGTTTTGTCTGAAACTGAAGTAAATAAATTTACAAGCAGGCTAAGGCGGATTTAGTCAAAAAGTGAAATACTTTAAATGAGAGTTTCGTAGAAGTTGGTGCTGTGTCTAGTGATAAGGCGAAGTATGTTCATTTTGGTTTTCGTAGTATAATGTAAAGAATGACTAATTTCGCTCTATCTTTAGACTTCAGAAGTACATGGGTCCATCATAATTAAAGAATTAAAACATTTTTGAATACGATTACAAAATTCTTCACACTCTATACCCAACCCCTTAAAAATTATATTCAAAATTGCGTGTGTATCTTTGCATAAATTTGTCATTGCAAATTTTTCAAAAATATGCAATACTCTTGTAAATCAAGCCTTCTCAGCTTAACTTATACTCATGAATACCTGTTGCATATTTACAATTACATTACCTGTCAATGACACTGTCTGTCTACAGACATGTACATATTTGCAAACGTATGCGGTAAGTGTGTAATTCTTTTTTTTAATCTCAGTCCATAAAAACTATTTCAAGTTTTTTAATCCTCTTGTTATTTAAAATGTAATTTTTTTGTGTGTCGTTGTAAAATCTTGTTTTCAAAATAGTTTCACAAATAAAAGGATTAAAATACGAAACAGAGATTTTATCACCTATTGCATTTGTGTAGAAAGAACTAAATATTTGAAAAATTTATGATTTTTCTTTAGACATGAACAAACATGTTTTCTATTTATATGATTTGACAGGAATTTCCTAACAGGCAGATAGCAAGCCATCTGTGATTGTTTTATTTGAATGTGACTTATTCTAAGGCCTTTGTTACAAAGTAATTTATTATAGAAAAAGTGTCTCCGTTAAGGAGATCTTTTCTAAAGATAAAGTGTTTTTGTTAAAGAAACATTCTCTAAAGAGAAGGTGTCTCTGTTAAAAATATTTTCTTTGGATCAGTAGTGCTTTCTAAAAGAAAAACTCTATCAAAATAAAAATTATCTCCAATGAAGACTTTTTCTATAGAAAAAATGTCTCCATTAAAGAGAATTTTTCAATAAAAAAAGTGTTTCCATTAAAGAAACTTTTTCTATAGAAGAAAAGTGTCTCTATTAAACAAACATTTTCTGTAGACTTTTTCTATAGAAAAAGTGTCTCTATTAAAAAGAATTTTTCTACAGAAAAAGCGTCTCTATTAAAGAGACTTTTTCTATAGAAAAAGTGCCTTCATTAAAGAGACTTTTTCTATAGAAAAAGTGCCTTCATTAAAGAGACTTTTTCTATAGAAAAAGTGCCTTCATTAAAGAGACTTTTTCTATAGAAAAAGTGTCTTCATTAAAGAGACTTTTTCTATAGAAAAAGTGTCTTCATTAAAGAGACTTTTTCTATAGAAAAAGTGTCTCCATTAAAGAGACTTTTTCTATAGAAAAAGTGTCTCCATTAAAGAGACTTTTTCTATATTAAAGGTGATCCCCTTAAAGAGACTTTTTCTATAGAAAAAGTGTCTCCATTAAGGAGACTTCTTCTATAGGAAAAGTGTCTCCGTTAAAGATACTTTTTGTATAGAAAAAGTGACTCCACTAAAAGAAGACTTTTTCTATAGAAAAAGTGTCTCCATTAAAGAGGCTTTTTCTTTAATAGAGACTATTACTTTTTCTTTAGAAAAGTGTAGCCATTAAAGAGACTTTTTCTATAGAAAAAGTGTCTTCAGTAAATAGCCTTTTCTATAGAAAAAGTGTCTCCAGTAAAGAGACTTTTTCTAAAGAAAAAGTGTCTCCATTAAAGAGACTTTTTCTATAGAAAAAGCGTATCCATTAAAGAGGCTTTTTCTATAGAAAAAGTGTTCCTATTGAAGATACTTTTTCTATAGAAATAGTATCCCGATTGAAGAGATTTTTTCTATAGAAGAAGTGTCTCTATTAAAGAGACTTTTTATATTGAAAAAGTGGCTCCACTAAAGAAACTTTTTCTATAGAAATAGTGTCTCCAGTAAAGTGACTTTTTCTAAAGAAAAATTGTCTCCAGTAAAGAGACTTTTTTTAAAGAAAAAGTGTCTCCATTAAAGAGTTTTTTTCTTAAGAAAAAGTGTCTCCATTGAAGAGACTTTTTCTATAGAAAAAGCGTCTCCATTAAAGATACTTTTACTATAGAAAAAGTGTCTCCATTAAAGAGACTTTTTGTATAGAAAAAGTGTCTCCATTAAAGAGACTTTTTCTATAGAAAAAGTGTCTCCATTAAAGAGGCATTTTCTATAGAAAAACTGTCTCATTTAGGGAGGTTTTTTCTTAGCAAAAAGTGTCTACATTTAAGAGACTTTTTCTATAAAAAAGCGTCTCCATTAAAGAGACTTCTACTATGGAAAAAGTGTCTCTATTAAAGATACTTTTTCTATAGAAAAAGTGTCTCCATTAAAGAGACTTTTTCTATAGAAAAAGTGTTTCCATTAAAGAGACTTTTTCTGTAGAAAAAGTGTCTCTATTAAAGAGACTTTTTCTATAGAAAAAGTGTCTCCATTAAAGAGACTTTTTCTATAGAAAAAGTGTCTCCATTAAAGAGACTTTTTCTATAGAAAAAGTGTCTCCATTAAAGAGACTTTTACTATAAAAAAAGTGTCTCCTTTGAAGAGACTTTTTCTATAGAAAAAGTGTCTCCATTAAAGAGACTTTTTCTATAGAAAAAGTGTCTCCTTTAAAGAGACTTTCTCTATAGAAAAGGTGTCTCCATTAAAGAGACTTTTTCTATAGAAAATTATTCTCCACTAAAGAGAAAAAGATTCTCCACTAAAGAGACTTTTTCTATAGAATCTGCACAAAAGAGGCTTTTTGTATAGAAAAAGTGTCTCCACAAAAGATACCTTCTCTATATAAAAATGTGTCTCCATTTAAGAAAGTGTTTCTATTAAAGAAAGTTTTTTTTAAAGCGCTTCTATTAAAAATTTTTATAGAAAATTGTCTCTCTCTATAGGCTTTTGCTATAAAGACGCTTACTAGAGAATATATATTTCCATTAAAGCGTTGCTTACTATAGAAAAAGTGTCGACTTGAAAGCCAATGAGTCTTCCCGTATGACGTATTTTAATAGAAAAGTGTATTTGATTGTTAATGGTGTTTGGGTAAAGTCTCGTAATATATAGAAATACTTCAAATTAAAATAATCTCTTACAAAATCTTCAAATGTTTGGTATTATATTACGAAACACTGTGCATGCACAGTGGATATTGCATAAAATATAATTGCTATAATTTTGTTGCTAGCCAAATGTAGATTTAAATGAAAGTATTTTTTTAGTTTTCTTGTCCAAGTTTTTTTTTGTGTTTGTTAGTATGTATTACAAAGAGTGTAAGTGTTTGTGTGAATGACCCGCAAAATCCACATAATTGAACAATTTACAAGACATTTGAAATGCAACAGATAGATCTTGTATACTGAGCACTTGTGTCTGTAACAATTTAAATTGCCTGTAACTATAGACAATATTTTGTTTTTTTTTATAACTCGATTTTTTCTATAATTTTTTAAAGTTGACTCTAAACAATGGAGTGTGTTATAGACATATGAATTAGACAAGTTAGTAGTGTACGCTGTGGCGCTGCCATGATATTGTGGGGTTGTTGTATGGGTATCAACAACAAACACATCTTGATAAAAAACGATTTGAACTGGTTACTAGTGTAACGCTCTCCCGCTATTGTTGTTGCAATTTAAAACATCAGCATCAACAGCAACAAAGACAATATTTTTTTCTTCTTATTTTTAATGAAAGGAAAAGTTGTTTGCAAAACTTTTTCTATTATCACGTTTTAACAACAACTACAAGCTATTTACTATTACACTTATAAATAACAACAAAAAACTGCAACATATAGATAACAACAAACTGAGTTGCTAGACGCAACAACAACAATATTAATAAATATCAACAAAAATTGCATATAAATACTCGAATTCGTACTTGTATAACTTGCCACTTGTAATTTGAAACTATTGCCCAATATTTGTGCACCACTCTATAAAATCGCAACTCAAAAAAAAAAAAAAAAAAACACACTCTCAAAATATGGGTTAACGACTTTTAAACACTTCAGCGTGTTTTTCCATTTCAGTCTTTTTTTTTATTTTTTTGACCATATGCAGTAATCAGAAGAGTGAGAGTTTGCAAGGGTAGTTTAGTAAATATTTATAAATCATATGTATGAACTGTTAGTTTTCTTATAAACAAATTTTATTTTATTAATGAAAGAAAAAACTCAACTTTCATTGATTGCATTTAGCAAAAGAAATTGCGAAAAAAAAACTTGAACTTAATCAGACAGACGGATTTTATATGGTCAGTTTTACAGTTACAACGTAATATTGCCGGTGTTGGTGGTACATTGAACGCTTTCGGTTTAATTTTTTTTTTTAGTTATGAAAGTGAAATTTCTGTTTGCATTAGATACACGATCAAAAGTGACGTTATTGAACATTTGTAGATTTTGTCATCCGTTTTATTAACTAAGTTGTACATTCATATTTTTCAAAAAAAGTTACCTTTATGTTTACGTAATTAGGGTGCCCCTTTAATATCGTTTTAAAAAATATCTCAATAATATTCACAGAAAAAAACCCACTTTACTGAAGTCAATTTTTCTATGGAAAAACACTCT